CTCGAGGGTCGTGGCGCGACCTTGAGATGGCCGAAGGCTGGCGTGGACGCAAGGGCACGGTGAGGCCTGACCCCAGACGGCAGTGGGCGTGCAGGCCAAAGGCGCCATGCGTCAGCGGCTGATCTTAGGTTCCAAGGGACTGCTAGGGGCCGCTACAGTTCTTCGTTGTTTACGGCATTTGGGAGGCTATAGTGATACTCAAAGTATAACAATTTCGAAGATAAGCTAGCATCATAGTATCACGTCCAGTTGTCGTTTAAGCAGTCTTCTTTAAAAAGGGCACTTTTGTTTTTGGAGCTTAAAGTCCCCCATGCTGCGGTCTTCAGTTCAGTTGCATGGCAATACGAATAACAGATCGCCGATGGCTCGGATCGGTTTGGAAAGTTAGTAGGACGAGGAGTTTGCCATGTTTTTTCATTAACCTATTTATTTCTGCCCTTTATTTGACATTCATTGTTTTTGTTTCCAATCTCTAGATGGAAGGGCAGCCTGTACAAACTGGTATGGCTCGATCTCGCAGTATACATAACTTGTTTCTACATAATCAACCTCAGTTACCGGTTCATACTAACGCCGCCTCAGAAACAGTGAGTTGCCTACCATCCCCTCCTCCCACTCGTGTTGAACTTTCTTTATAATGCATGTTTAATAGGAAGTTAATAATGATATTTCTAGTTCTCGTTTTTAATGTATGACAGATATTATTGAGAGAAGAGAAGTGGATTTTAGGCGTATATTCTAATACGGAGAATTTAGTAGATGGGTTGAGTTAGTGCGGTAGACGGCTTTTGGATTGGGTGTAAAGTTATTCTGACTAATGTTCGAACGCATTGCGACCTCCCCCTTTCTCTTTGACTCTACATGGGTAAAATCCAAAAAGTAGCGGCTCATCATGTCTGAGAACACGTTTTCCAGGCATAACTTTAGTCTCATGAAGGTCAGCATCCAATAGTTCATCAGGTTTCCAGTCCTTTTGGGAGTTTTGCCAAATTCTTTATCCACGGAAGTGAATCCACACCGACATGACTGCATTATACAATATGCTCATTCATTCTGACTTGTCTTAATGATAGATGAATTTACATGGACCTAACGCAAACAGTAGAGGTTCTTCGGGTTAGGAATTGAGGTATGATGGGCTGAAGATTATCATAAATCCAGAAATGACCACTCCAGTGTCGGTCATCTTTGTGGGTGTTACTTCCGTCTGTGTTTGTTTCCACCTGAGCACCATTTCTATATGAGTTGATAGTCTGAAAGGGGAAAATCCGAAAAGAAGCGAGCGAGCGAGAAATGTAATGTTTTAACGGGGAAGATTCAATGGAAATTGTGGTTTAGATTATACAATCACCAAACAACTCAGAGCCTCTTAGGAATCGTTAAGAGCTTTTATAAAAACTCGGAGATAGGTTGAGCCCCGCTTCTACATAGTCTTATATTCTCACAGGAGAAAAACATAGAACAAAAGAGCTCGCGCGAAACATAAACTCTCACCAGGGAAAATGCCATGAAAAGTGTGGTGTTCAGAGACCCCTGACACTACACAGAATTGCCAAGAGCTTCTATAACATTTCCTGGTTTTTGTTTTTTAACGGACAATTTTTGTCTACCCTCTCATGTAGAATCTTCGAGAGCATTGTACAGTACTGCGATAGCATGAAGGGCAACATACCAGTCTCCTTCCTACTGGGTTTCTTCGTGTCTGGCGTCATTGGACGCTGGTATCAAATGTACATGTACATTCCGTGGATGAACAACATTGCCTACTCAACCATGGTAAGTTCAAAAACAGACTCTAAATATAATTAGTTATGACACTGCTGTCTTGTTGTTGGCCTAAAGTAATGGGCTGTGTGTTTCTGACTAAATGCTCACTGACCAGCTGGACTCGGGCTCGAACCATTGCTGGGGTAGGGGTTTCACTGATTCACTGCAACAGATAAGTCAGAACTGGTCATTTCATTTTGTTTCGCCCTTTGTTGCGATCTAGCCCCCTCCAAACTGTGAAGCCATCCCAGAATCAACTCCATTTACCGTCTTACAGCTAGGATTGTGAACTGAGCTACATTAGCCTGACATTTAAGTGAAAAATTTAAACCACGGATCTTAATGCATCGTTTCAATCTAGTATAACGCGCAGAGACCCCTGGCTGTGCAAACCTTAAAGTCAAGAATTTGTTTCCATTACAAGATGTGGAATTGGAAGAACTTGTTTTGAAATTTGCGCTCATCTTTTCATATTCCATCTTTCAATTAGGGTAGATCAGTTTACGGTTTTTTTTTGTTTTTTGGCATGGTGTTTTATTCTAGTTTAAGGCGCAGAGCTACGCAGCTCTGGTAACATAATGGTCAACAAGTAATTTCTTGGTTTGAAAATAAAGTAAAGCAGCAGTTGTTGTCGTTGTTGTTGTTGTTACTGTAGTAGTAGTCGTATTAGCACTAGTAGTATTAGTAGTATTTCAAGTAATATCTTTCTGTTAAGGGTATCCTCTGGCAAAATGTGACGTTACCCGATCATGGCGGGCATCAAGTTTCCAAATGATGGCGATTCTTAGACACGTTCATCCATTTTGGGTCAGGTCAGCTTAGGTCAGGTTTTATTAAGGGAAATATAGGTAAATACCTTTGAACTCCCTATTGATACAGAACAGTTATGCAATGCATTGGTTCAGCAGAGTATTTCAAAAGAGTGGCTTTGCCAGTGAATGGAACTGGGTAAAAAAAGGGGGCCGACAGTGAAAGAAACCCTCAGACATTGTTCAGAAATTGTAGGGGTTTGAATGCCATTTGGGAGATTTTAAGGAGAAAAACTGTCACTCATGAGGGGGGGAATATATTCAAGTCGGACGGCCTCTGTTAAGAGTGTTTGAAGCATGTCAGGAGGTGCCCGTCGCATTTTTATCATTTTCCTAAGGATCAACGAGGAGAAGATTGCGAAGAACGCCATCGAGTGTCGGAGATGCGCCCATCGTACACCTTTGCTAGTTTACCGAGTCTGCTGACCAGGTGACGAAACAGAGGGCCTCACAACGATCCACATCACGATCCACAGCAGTCGGTAAGGGAAAACCATTTGGAAGAACTT